AAGCAGTGTAGAGCAAGAAGTTTTATTTTCTTTCTTTCTTTCTTTATTTTTGAAAGATTTTATATATTTATTTGACAGAGAGAGATACAGCAAGAGAGGGAACACAAGCAGGGGGAGTGGGAGAGGGAGAAGCAGGCTTCCCATGGAGCAGGGAGCCAGATGCGGGGCTCGATCCCAGGACCCCGGGATCATGACCTGAACCGAAGGCAAATGCTTAAGGAGTGAGCCACCCAGGCGCTCTGAGCAAGAAGTTTTAAATGGAGAAAGTGTCATATTTAGAATCTTATTGCAATGTAATTTTTTTTTAAAGATTTTATTTTTAGGTAATCTCTACCCCCAGCATGGGGCTTGAACTCACAATTCCTGAGATGAAGAGTTGCATGTTCTACTGACTGAGCCAGCCAGGCGTCCCTGTTACAATATAATTGAATTCAACCAACTAGTAACATTTGATGGTACACTAGCTGTAGCATTTATATTAAATGTTTTTCCATATATCTGACCCTTAAACTGTCTTCAAATCTCCCTGCTTTTATTTGCTTGGGTGTGTGTGTCCTGGATGTTCCATCCATATTCAAAACAACCTTGTCTTAGTATCTGTCCATCAGTCAACAGAATCAGAGTGGGAATTTTGTTGATAAAAATGGAGCTACTGAAAGTGAAGATCACTTTTATATTTTAAAGGCCACCTTTAATGGGTATTAGATGTAGGGACATTTGTAACTGTTGGGGTCTTTAGGACAAAATGAATTTAGGTTGAATATATTAGTTATTAGGTGATTCTGTGTATTGTATAGGATTTTCCTAGGATTGGTTCCTTTATCGTGCCATTTAATGCTTCCAAATTATTAGTTCTATCTAATGAAGTTATGAGACAGGGAAGGGAGGAGCCGTGAAGAGGATAGGGAAAAAGCATACAAATATTGAAGGAAAATGTTTGGATCCCTTCTCAATTCAAGATCATTTGAAATGAAGGCAGAGTACTTAGAAAATACTTGATTTACAGTTTTTCAGGCATGCATTCTAATGTGTACATCAGCATACAGAACTATACATGCAGCTCCTTTGCTCAGACCAAACGTTCTTGCAAGACACTAATAACTAACTTTGTGGTGGGTGGTGAGATAGTAGATTTTGAGTCACACAATACAATTTCCGGAGAGTTGATAATACATTTGTGTATAATACAGATTTGACTGTAAGGGGCCCGCCAATACCATATGGTCAGAAACCATTAAGGAGTAGTATTAACAAAGTATGGTGATTGCAGACTTTCTTGAGCTCTGGGCCTATAGACTTTAGTGCTAGTTGACCACAGTAGAACATTTGCTGCTTTGGGATTAGTCATCTACGCCTAGGTAAAACATAGCTCAATAGTTTTCTTTTCAGTTTTCTTTGCCTGAAAAGTATGTTGGCTAAAAGAGAGACCGCTAAGTTTTTTGTACTTCTAGAATGTATCTTTGAGAACAGTTGTAGAAAAACCAATATAAGAAAAGTTGTGGCAGGTACAGGGAGGGAAATTTTTGTTTTTGTTTTTTTGTATTTGTCTCAGTTATGTAAGTTAAGATGAAAAAAAAAAAAAAGAAGTGACCTTTCCTGGCAGTGGAAATACTCTTAAGTTGTAATGAATATGACATTGACATTTGGCCAAGGTTCTTTGGGAAATACAAAATAGCTCCAGTGTAGTACAATTCCTTTCCTTAGGGCGCCTGGGTGGCTCAGTTGTTAAGCGTCTGCCTTCGGCTCAGGTCATGATCCCAGGGTCCTGGGATCGAGTCCCACATCGGGCTCCCTGCTCGGCGGGAAGCCTGCTTCTCCCTCTCCCACTGCCCCTGCTTGTGTTCCCTCTCTGGCTGTGTCTCTCCCTGTCAAATAAATAAATAAATTAAAAAAAAAAAACAACTCCTTTCCTTAGAACTTATCTTTTGGTAATGGAGATAAGGCAAACAGTTTCATAATTTGGGTCAGAAAATGTAAGAATATAAAAATATGAAGGGTGCCTGAGTGGCTCAATCAGTTGAGCATCCTACTCTTTGTTTTGGCTCAGGTCATAATCTCACGTCATGAGATCAAGCCTCACATGCGGCTCTGCGCTCATTGCAGAGTCTGCTTGAGATTCTTTTTCCCTCTCCCGCTACCACCCCCACTCACACTCTCTTTCTAATAAATAAATCTTAAGAAAAAAGAATATAAAAATATGAAAACATAAATATGCCATGGCCTATACTTCAAAAAAATAGCTTTGTTGAAAAAAAGAAAAAATAGCTTTATTGAGATAATTCACATATCATACAATTCAACCATTTCAGTGATTTTTATCATGCTCACATAATTGTGCAGTTATCAGCATAATCAATTTTAGTACACCTTCATACCCCGAAAGAAAACTATACCCATGTAACCACATGGTGACCATAGTTAGTGATACCATATTGCATATTTGAAGGTTGATAAGGGAGTAGATGTTAAAAGTTCTCATAATGGAAAAAATTTTTTGTAATTATGTATGGTGACAGATGTTAATTAGCCTTATGTGGTGAGCATTTTGCAATATATACAAATAGGGAATCATGTTGTACACCCGAAACTCATAATGTTGTGTGTCAATTATACCTCAATTAAAAATAAACAAAACACCATACCCATTAGCAGTCACTCCCCAGCCGTAGGCAGTAACTTGGCTATTTTCTGTCTCTGTTTGCCTATTCTGAGTAGAGTAGAATCATATAATGTGGTATTTTGTAACTGGCTTCTTTCACTTCGCACAAGCTTCATTTATGTTGTAGTATATGTCAGTACCTTATTCCTTTTAATTGCCAAATAATGTTCCATTTTATGGATATACTAAATTTATCCATTCATTAATTGATGGACATTTGGATTGTTCCACTTTTTGGCTGTTATGAATAGCCAAATACTAGCATTATGAACATTTATGCACAAGCTTTTGTGTGGACCTAGGTTGTCACTTCTAATAATATAATATACTATAATATATACTACAATATAATAGATGATATAATATCTCATATATAATATATATCTAGGAGTGGAATTGACAGGTCATATGCCAGCTGTCTGTGTAACTTTTTGAGGAACTGCCGGACTGTTTTCCAAAGTAACTACACCATTTTATCTTCCCATCAATAATGTATGAAGTTTCCAATTTCTCCACATCCTCCCTAACACTTGTTATTATCTGTCTTTTTGACTATCATTACGCTAGTGTGTGAAGAGGTATCTCATTGTATTTCTGATTTACACTTCCCAATGTGTAATGATTTTGAGCATCTCTTCTGCTTATTGGCCATTTTTGTATCTTTTTTTTTGGAGAGATGTCTATTCAGATCCATTGCCCATTTAAAAATTGCATTGTCTTTTTATTATTGAGTTTTAAGAGTTCTTTATGTTTTCTGATACAAGTCCCTTATTAGATATATAATTTACAAATTATTTACGAATTTGTTTGATTCTGTGGGTTGTCTTTTTACTCTCTTAACAGCATCCTTTGAAGTACAGAAGTTTTTCACTTTGATGCTGTCCAATTTATCTATTTTTTTTTGTTGTTGCTTGTGCTTTTAGTGTCTAAGAAACCATTACCTAACCCAACATCATGTGAGTTTACCCTTATGTCTTCTTCTAAGAGTTTTATAGTTTTAGCTCTTACACATTTATGTTTGTGATCTTTTGGAATCAGTTTTTATGCATGGTGTTCATTCTCTTTGCGTGTGGATATCCAGTTGTCTCACCACCATTTTCTGAGAAGACTGTAGTTTTCCCACTGGGTTGTCTTGTCAGAATTGTTGGCCATAAATATGACAGTATATTTCAGGACTGTCTGTGCCCTTGTTCTATATGCCTGTCCTTCTGTCCTTATAGTAGTGTAGCACCACCTTGATTATGTAGCTTTGTAGTTAAGTTTGACATTGGTGAGTGTGTTCTTTCTACTTTGTTCTTTTTCAAGAATATTTGTCCGTTCCAGGTCTCATGCATTTCTATATAGATTTAGGATCAGCTTGGTTACAAAAAAAAAAAAAAAAACTATCCTGGGATTTTGATAGGGATTACCTTGAATCTTGTAGACCAGTTTGGGTGTATTGCTATCTTAATAGTATTAAGTCTTTCAATTCATGAATGTAAAATAACTTTCCATTTATTTAAGTCTTGAATTTCTTTCAACAGTGTTTTGGAATTTTCATTGTACAAGTTTTGTACTTCTTTTAAATTTATTTCTAAGTAGTTGAGTCTTTTTTTTTTTAAGATTTTTTTTATTTATTCATTTGCGGGAGAGACAGAGAGAGAACAAGCAGGGGGAGAGGCAGAGGGAGAGGGAGAAGCAGACTCCCTGCTGAGCAAGGAGCCCGATGCGGGACTCGATCCCAGGACCCTGGGATCATGACCTGAGCCGAAGGCAGACGCTTAACCACCTGAGCCACCCAGGCGCCCTGTAGTTGAGTCTTTTTGATGCTATTATAAATTGTTTTCTTAACTCCATTTCTGAATTTTTTATTGCTGATGTATAGAAGCACAACCGATTTGTGTATGTTGATCTTATATCCTACAACTTTGCAAGACTTGTTTATTCTAATAGTTTTAAATGGATTCCTTAGGATTTTCTATGTACAAGATGATATCATTGTAAATAGAGATAGTTTTACTTCTTTCTTTTCAATCTGGATCCCTTTTGTTTATCTTACCTAACTGCCCTGACCAGAACTTCTAGAACAATGTTGAATAGAAATTGTAGTCATAAAACTTCCTTGTCTTATTCCTGATGTTCGAGGGTAAGTCTCTAAGGTAAACCACTAAGCATGACATTAGCTGCAGGTTTTTATAGATGTCCTTTATCAGGTTGAGAAGTTCCCTTCTATTCCTAGTTTTTTGGGTGTTTTTATCATGAAAGAGTGTTGTATTTTTGCCAAATGATTTTTCTGAAATAAATTAATTAAAAATGACCATTTTCTCTGTTTTTTTTTTCTTTCTCTCTTTTTTATCCACAGAAATTGACTTGCATACCAAATGTGTGGTGGATGTAGATGCAAACAAGGTTATACTTAGTCCTGTAAATACTAATCTTTCCAAAGGAGATGCCCGGTAAGTTAAGAAACAGTGTTATGTTCAGTGGATTTTTTAAATGACTGAAAGCAACAATGGCTGCTGAGCTGAGTTCAGCTCAGCAAATAACAAATGCTTCATTACTGTGTAGAGACACATAGCTGTCTAATCAAAGAGGCGAGGTCTATAATATGGAATGACTAAGTGCCAGAATGAGTGTTGTAGATAGCAGTTGTATCAGAAGCTCAAAGAGAGCTTTAGGGCAGAAGGTGGAGTAACTGAGGAAGCCGTCTTGAAGGAGACAGTACCAGCTACAAGATTAGTAGGATGTAAATGGGAAGAGGTTGGGTAGAAGAGAAGACCTTTAGGTTGTTCCTCAGCTTGGATTGTTTTTACTTCTGCCACGTTGAATCCTGTCAGTTAGAGCCCATTTCAGGTGCTACTTCTTCCTCAAGGCATTCCTGCATCCTTCAGTGACTCCTTTCCTCTAAATCCTTGTAAACTGTAATCTGAATCACCTAACTGAATTAATATACCTTGTTTTGGATTGCTACTTGTAGCTCTTCAGTGGATTTTAAGGTCTTGAAGGGAAGAGACTCTCTGTCAGGGGTTGAAGATGAATCGCTTCTGGATTTGGATGATAGTATGAACAAAAGCAAGGGCCAGAAAGTGTAAAGAAAGCAAATTTGGGGAAGAAGCAAGAGATTCATTTGGTTTTTCTCAGCAAGTATGGGGAAGTTAATTTAATCAAACAAGCTAGGTTCAGATTACAGAAGACCTTGAAAGCCAATAAGAAAATTTGACCTGTATTTTTATGGGTAAGATGTCATCTTTGACAGTTTTTTAATATTGTGGTTAAGGGGGTGTATTAGGAAAGGTTGTCAGTTGGCCGTGTAGAGAATGGTTGCAAGTGGGGAAAAACTGGCTTTCCATAGAGATCAGCTTGATTTCAGAGATGTTTTTCTACTGACCCTGGAAGTAAATTACACAAATTAGAGAGACAGTACCGTCCTTGGTGCTTTGCTGGAAGTAGATACTTAAACTTGTAGAGACAATGTTGTGTATGGAAATACATACAGAAGGCACTCCATAAATGTTCTTTCAGGTTGAGTCATTGAGTTGAAAGGGCATTTCTGACTTGGAGTCAGAAAATCTTAAACAACTTAACTATGTTGTTTTTAACTAGTAGCTTCTAAACTAGTAACTAGTTATTTTTAACTTTTTTCAGTCTTATCTGTATGTTGTATGCCTTACCAATCTCATAGAAGTGTTTTCTGAAGATCAAATTAGTGATTGTTAAAGTGTTTTGTAAAGTGCTCTGTAATTGTTCAGGCTTATTGTCTTTGATATAGAGCTATTTCATAAGTATCACTAGGATATGGGTACTATCAGATATGATGTTATTAGGGTGTAAAGGGTATAGATGTGTCAAAAATGATGCTAGGATTTTGAGCCTGCTCATTGATTGATCTGTTGTTCTGAGTATTAACTGAAATCATTAATATGGGAGGCTGTTTATTGTTCTTAGAATTTGAATTCTGGAGATTGTTGCTTTATTTGGAAATGTGGTTACCTCTGAACAAACTTGGAGGCAATATCCTATGGTAGAAAGAGTGTAGGCTTTATCTGTAGACGAACTTGGATTTAAATTCTGGCTTTGCCACTTGGTAGTGTGGTTACCTACCTGTGTTCCTTATTTATAAAGTGTTTTAGTTTTCTAAATTTTCTATTGCTGTATAACCAATTATCTTTAAAAGCTTAGTGGCTCAAGGCAACAGTAATCATTTATTAGCTCATGGTTTCTGTGGGTCAGGAATTCAGACAGGGCTCAGCAGGGATGGCTTGTCTCTCCGTCATTCTGTCCAGGGCATAGCTGGAAGACTTGAAGGCTGGGGATTGGAATCATCTGGAGATGGCTCTGTCACCCAGATCTGGTGGTTGATGCTGCCTGCTGGCTGGAGAGGTAGCTGGGGCGGTAGGCAGAATACCTGCTCACAATCTGGTGTCACGTTCCAAGGGCGAGTGTCCTGAGAGAGCGACAAAGCCGAGTGGAGGTAGCATAGCCTTTTATGTCCTAACCTTGGGAGTCACACAGTATCTTCTGTCACATTCTCTTACTCAAGGCTGATCTAAAGCTCTAAACAATTTCCAGAAGAGGAAGTACAGACTCATCCTTTAATGGAGGAACATTAGTGTCACATAAAAGCCTTTGGGAGGAGATGTGTGTTATTGTTGCTGCCTTTGGAAAACACAGTCTGCCACAAGTGTGTAATAGTATCCACCTGATAAAGTTGTTGTGAGAATAAAATGACAATATAAAAGCTGAAAAAAGATACTTTCTTTCCTTTTGAGGTCTTTAAATCTCAAGGGTTTGTGAAAGGATTAAATAGCTCTTCTAGAATATCTTGGATGGCTCTTTTTTACATATGCTGCAGATACAAATTGAATATCACTCAGTGCTATAGAGGATTGTTCGATAAAAAACTTTAAAAAATGCCAACTTCCAATAAGGTTGGTATGTAATGGTTTTTGATGAAGTAAAGTTAAGCACAGATTTTTAAAAAACAGCTTTTATAGGGTGAAGTATATATAGCTTGATAATTTTTCATAAGTTGAACATAACTCCTGTAAGTGGCACGTAGATAAGAACTGAGAACATTGCTGGGGCACCTGCCTGGCTCATTCGGAAGGGCATGTGACTCTTGGTCTCTGGGTCGTGAGTTCAAGCCCCATGTTGGGTGTAGAGGTTACTAAAAAATATAAGTAAACTTAAAAAAAGGAAAAGAACATTGTTAGTATAATAAAAGATTGCCTTTTGAGAAGTCCTTTTTCTTTCCTTTTCTTTTTAATTTTATTGATTTATTTGAGAGAAAGAAGGAGCAGAGAGAGGGGCAGAGGGAGAGGGAGAAGCAGACTCCCCACTGAGTAGAGAGCCCAGACGGACGTGGGGCTCGATCCCAGGACCCTGAGATCGTGACCTGAGCCAAAGGCAGATGCCCAACTGACTGAGCCACCCAGGCTCCCTGAAAAGTGCTTTTTCTTTCAACATACTATCAAGGTGAAAACAAAAATAGAAATTTTGGAATGTAACAGTCTAGCAGTACATGTTGACCTCATTAAATGTGAAGAAAAATTGGAAGAAAACATAAATTAAAACCTATTTTATGTGATATGAAGTTAATTACAGTCTAGTTTGTAGAATGATTAATCCATAAACAAGTTATGGTTTTATAGGAGCTATATTTGTAACTAGAGAGTTAGGAATTTAAAGTTAACATGTAAGTGATTTGAGTCCATTTAAATTAGTAGTCAGAAAGGCTCAAATTTTTTCTTTAAAAGCTATAAAATTCTTGCTTTTAGAATAGTATCCAATTCTATTACTCTAAAATCATGACTAATTTTATATGTATATTTAACAACTCAAGTTAGTATACTTTGAAAGTGGACATACATACTTTTAAAATAATGATTTGTAATTTTTCTGATTAATTTTGTATTAACTTCTGGCAGTTTCACGATTTGATGTTTGTGCTTATTAAAACTAATAGAAACCCTGGTTAAATGAATGGGTAAACCGTTTCTAGTGTAACAGCTTAATCATGGAGATTTGGGAAACATTTCCTGCTGTGCTATATATGGGATTTCAAAACCGCTCTGAAAAATAAGATGCTTAAAATTCAGAAAATTATAACACGAGGCTAAGAGATTAAGAATGCTGACTTTGGAGCCAGAAATCCTGGATTGAATGTCACCTTCACCACTTACCATGTGTGCTGTGGAGCAGGTTACTTAATGGTCCTCTGCCTCAGTTTATTCATTGGTAAAGTGGAGATTATAATAGTACCTTTCAGTAGGTTGTTATGACAATTAAAACAATTTAAAATATGTAAAATGGCAGTGCCTGGTATACAGTAAACCTTATATAAATGTTAGCTGTTACTTTAAATATTACTGTTACTGTTATTATGGGCTGCATTTATGATGTTTGGTGAGCTATAATACAACTTCAGAAAGGAAGTAAAAAATTTTTTTAAAGATTTTATTTACTTATTTGACAGAGAGACAGCAAGAGAGGGAACACAAACAGGGGGAGTGGGCAAGGGAGAAGCAGGCTTCCCGGAGCAGGGAACCTGATGTGGGGCTCCATCCCAGGACCCTAGGATCATGACCTGAGCCGAAGGCAGACGCTTAAGGACTGAGCCACCCAGGTGCCCCAGGAAGTAAAATTTTTTAAACCAAAATGTATTCAGTTCAATACTAGAGTATACATGCTTATCAAGAAACTGTCTAGTTCTAGGGGTGCCTGGGTGGCCCAGTTGGTTGGGTGTCCAACTCTTGATTTCTTCGGCTCTGGTGGTGATCTCAGGTCGTGAGATTGAGCCCCGTGTTGGGCTCTGCGCTAAGTGCGGAGCCTGCTTAAGATTCCCTCTCCCTTTACCCCTCCTCCCCAGCCGTCCCCCCACTCACACATGTACTCTCTCAAAAATAAAAAATTAAAAAAAATTAAAAAAAATTTAGTTCTGTAAAAATTTCAGCTTTGCAAAGTCAGAAACTTAATTTTATCTAGTTTGCCCCAGTTGATGGGGCTCTTTGGGAGTAACGTGCCATGTGTTAGAGAGCTTGACCCCTAATTTGATGTTTACAGTGAATAAAATATCAACTTACTTGGGAAACCAGGTCAAAACATTGATGTAGCATAGGGTAAGAACAAAGGGACGTTTTATCAAATACGGAAAAGATTAAGGACGAAGTCTATTTTATAGCACTTTAGTCAAACGCTAGAGACTGATACACTTGCATCTGACTGAGCCGGCTGGGCACCCCCAGAACAGTCCCCTTTTAAAATAGCTAAATAAATCTTTAAGCCTTATTTTGTTTGAATTAAAACAAAACTGAAACTCTTAAAACTTGTTGAACTTTTATCCTGTAATAAATGTTAAGGCTAGCTAGCCTGTCACCATAATAAGGCAAAATAGATTCTTAGGCTAAGGTTTATCTTCTATCTTTTGCCTTATTCCTGCCTACCAAAATGCCTTTCT